CAGAGACATGAGACACAGGGCCCAGAGGTCGAATCAGAGACATGAGACTCTGGGCCCAGAGGTCGAATCAGAGCTGTGAGACACAGGGCCCAGAGGTCGAATCAGAGACATGAGACACAGGGCCCAGAGGTCGAATCAGAGACACGAGACACAGGGCCCAGAGGTCGAATCAGAGACACGAGACACAGGGCCCAGAGGTCGAATCAGATCAGAACTCTGAAATACTTTAATGAAACAAGGACTACGCACGCTGATACACTCCCCTCTCTGATACACTCACTTCAAGAACTCTAGGTAATGTGTTTGTGTTTAAAAATTTTCTTGGACTGGCAATTAATATATTGTGGTTGCTTGAACACTGGATTTTCCACTGGGTTGTTGAAGTATCGATTCTGTCTGTCAAGGTTTCTGTCTGGCTGGCCACACACACAACCTTTAAATCAAGGGTGTCACACTCTGTTGTTGGGGTACCTGGTGACTTCAGGTTTTTTGTCCAATCTGAGTAGTCAATTAAACAATTAAGCTAATCAGTTCCCTAATTAGACATACAAAGGATTTTTCTTAAGTTGCCAGGCTGAAAAAATGCACTTCAACAAAAGTACAATTACCTCCAAAGCACCTACCTGGTTGAATGTATTAACAGAGATGGTGTTAATTAGATGAGTACCAGCTTGAATAAAAAAACGAAAACACCAGATTCTCCAGGAGCTGTGTTTCACACTAAATAATCTGCTCAGGCCTAAGGTACCACAGAACAAAAAATCTTATTTTCTGTTACCTTAACTTAACTTAAAGTAACCTTAATAAATTAGGATAAATTAACGCATACCTTAATTTATTATTTGTACTTTGTGGGTGTAATGTTTCACTTGCTCTGTATTCTGTACTATATTTGCTGAGAATAAAGTTTTGCAGATGTGTGGTCTGGTGTGATGATCAGTGCTGCTGCCTCTCAGCACCAGGCCCTGGGTTTGATTCTGGACCAGCAATCCTTTTGTGTGGAGTTTGCATGTTCCACATGTGATCCTGAGGGTTTTCTCCCATCTGCCACAGACACGTTCCACATTGTTTAGAGAGCACGATCTCTGGCTAATGTAGGGATTTATGAATATCTAAAGACCGTGTGTTCAATTCATATCATATGTGGGAGGACACAAGTGCAATGAAATACAAATACAAACACAAAACAGCAGCAGCAAAAACAAAGTTAAATAACATACAACTTAAATACAAATCAGCACATCAGCACAAGCCGTGTGCAAAAATAACACCAGTGTGACTCAGAGGTAGAGGCAGAATTTAGCGATCTGACAGCTAGTGGGGGCTACAAACAGCGCCACCCGGTGTTCACACTTTGTACACACAGGTGCCAGGTTGCAGATTTCTTCCTGCAGAGCCGGAGCTCAGACCCTCAGCACAGAGGCAGTGAGGACTGCAGGCCCGTCCTCAGCTGTCAAGAGGTAGAAAA